CTCAGGCTTTCCACCAATTTTTTGTCGTTTTTTTTTCACAAATCTTTTTTTTTTTTTTAAATTCTAATTACAAGGATGTAATATTTCTTACCATTAACCTTTTGTTATTTATAACTTCCGGTTCTATATTTCTCCCTATCTTTTCCTAACATTTTTATTATTTATTGATTAGATAAATCGATTAAACTATTAGCGCTAATAATTTAAGTGTCAATATGACATTTTCTTCTAACCTTCAATATATACCAAAGAATTTACCATATGTAATCACAGTAAGTAACTGATGAAATAATGAACAAAACAACGAATTATTTTAACAATTTTAGCATTAATTTATGATTATTTTTTCAACATTACCCAATTTAAAATTTGTTCGGAACTGATCCATGTCATCTTGGTATCGTTGGTTATTATACAGCAGAGTCAATCACATCGTTTCCATATATCGAATACATTGAATATTACATGTCATATTTGACTCGATCATATCATTTCTATCATCAAAAGTTTGGAAAATTAATTAAATTTAATTTGTGTTGAAATGCTTACACAACTACCATCGCATTATCTTATTGTAATGATAACATCTAAAGTGAAAAGCCTAGCAAATTAATTAATTTAATTGATCTTGTTAAAAATACTGCAGTCGAATCGTTTGTTTTTTGTTTTTTTATTTGAAATGATATGACTGAGTATTGTAATAGCATGAAAGCTACATTTCTTGGTGAAGTTTGTCAAATCTAATTAATTAGATCCATCTTGCTACAATGGTTCAATCATGTGCTTGATGTCAAAATAGCGTGGTTTCTTTGTATGTTGTCAAAATTAGTTAAATTTTTGTTAAAATGCTTACTTAACTGCCATCTTATTATCTTATTGTTAATAAATAAAAACTTATGATATTTTTTTCCCACACAAATATATTGTAATTGATATATGGAATGCTTCAATCATATGGTTCCATTTGATGCCAAAATATGTAAATAGTATATCTAGCGAATGTTAAAAATTTATCACAGCATAATACCTTCAAATTTCTTAATTTATTGCTATAATAAAATATCTGATTACAAATATTTGAGATATATTTATGCAATAACGTAAATACTTTACAGCTAATTTAAATTCCTTAACATTTATCGCTATCGTTCTCATTTATTTGCAATAATTTTTTGTTACTTCTTTCTCGCTAGCGATTCAACTCATAATTTAAATTTGTGATATTTAAATTCGTGCATTCGAATTTCTACTACAAAATTTCTATCAATTGTATCATTTAAACTCATTTTCAGTAATAAACTATGTGCACTGTCTACATAATGGTTGAAAAAGCTTAGCAAATAATAATATATTTCGGCAAGGTTTGTTAACAACTTTTAACACAGTTTTAATTCGATGCAATCTGACGTTTATCAACAAATTATTCCTCAATAATATCATGGTAAATCATTTTCATACACTCAAATATATTTAATTGATGATATTTTAATTAGTTTTGAATTTTAATAAACTCTTTTCGAAAAAAATTTATTTACTGGTGTGCAATTTTTCAAAAACATATATTGATTTATTTATTCAAAGTTTCAAATAATTAATCCTGCATCTAAATTTATCTCACTTTAATCTTGACAATATAAACTTCTTTTAGTTAAAAAAATTTTATCTTAATCATTTCTCTTTTTTTTCCGGCTACTTTTGTTGTAATAAACGAAAATCATTAAACTTCACTAACTAAAATATTCTGTTGATGTTATCTTGTTTAAAAAAATGAAAAAAAGGAACTGATTTAGTTCATTTCCTATTTCTTATTAAATTTTGTTCCATTATCTTTTCATTTTTCACTTTGTTTAAGTTTCAATTAAAGTTCTTTTTTTCTTTCCACTAGAAAGAATTAAATGTGATATATGTTAATAAATTTGAAAATGATATAAATCAATGAAACCATTGCTATCATAGGCAATGCTCCCTTTTTTCTGTTTTGGGACATTAAATTAAATGATAGAATTTAATGATAGTAAATTTTTGTGGTCCATTATATCTTTCATTGAACTAAATTTTTTACAATTAATGATAGAGGTTTAAGGTCACTTTAAGGCTTATATATGCATTTGTATATGTGCTTGTGCATAGGTCTGCCTGTGTACATGTGTGCGTGTTTGTTCATCATTCTGCGCAAATGTTTCATGAATTTGAAAAATGTCAATCTCTAGCCGATTCCTACTCCTGCAATTTCTGTTTGACTATCATTATGATATCACAAGATAAGATTAATGATTCTTTTAACATGATTTCCAGTAATGTTAAAATTTTGTTAGAAAAGAAGGAAATATATATATAAATAATTTTTGAACCAATTCAAAAATTTTCAAAAAATTTAGATTTAAAAATTTGTAAATTTTTAAAAAAATAAGGAAAAAAATATAAGCATAATATTTCACTAAATATATTGTAATAATACTATTACAGCTTTGCTATTTATGTGATACAGAAGTAATGAAGCTAGCAATACTAGTTTATTCTGAAAAAAGTGCAGAAGTGCAGAAATAATTGAAGGAGAAAAAGTGAAGAGAGAGAGAAAGAGAAAGGGAGAAATGAATTGTTCATTTAAAATAATGGATGTAAAATATAGGGTAGTGTTGAAATTTTGTGATTTTGAAAAGATGCCTATGAATGATAATGATATGATTGATGATGATGATGATTATAATGACGACGAAGATGATAAATGATGATTGATGATAACGACACATACTTGATTACCTGTCACATGACAATTTGTGTTATATGCATCTAGATTTAAAAATTTATAAGTTAAATTTGGATCAATTCTTTAAAAATAATTAGGTTACATAAATGAGAAATTCGTCTCAAGCTGCAACAAAAAAAAAAAAAAAAAGAAAAAAAAATAAATAAAATAAAAAGAAAAATAATGTTTTGTTTATAATGCTATCAAAAAATGTAAGCAATAAAAGATTTTCCAAAAATATTTTCTTAAAAATTTTAAACATAAAATGAAACAGAAAGGGGATAGGGAAAGAGAAAAAAGGTAAGGAGGGGAAGAGAGAGAGGAAGAAGGAAGAGAAAAAAAGGTGTGGAAGTAATAAAATTTATTCCATGAATTTTAAACTTTTATATGTTGCTGTGGTCGATCAGAAAATTTTGCAAATGGATGAACGATTAGTGTTAAAATTTTCAGTGTTAACTATGTCTTTCAAAGAGAAGCGGCAAAAAAAGCCAAATCACTTCCTTTCTTCTCTTCATCGTTTTTTTTTTTTATTTTCAGAATTACTAAACGTATGTAAAAAAAAGAAAAAGTAAAAAGAAAAAAATAAAAGAGAGTGAGGAAGAGGGAGAGAAGTATATGAGAAAAAAGCTAAAAAAAAGAAAAAGGGGAAAGAAAGAAGTAGGATGAGGAGAAAAAGGAATAGAAGGAGGAGAAAGAGTGGGAAGAAGAAGAGGAAGATGAAGTAAAGGTGAATCATTTAATGGATGAATCTAATTGAATAGATAGATAAAAATGTTGTAAGCATTCATTTCAGGTTACATACTCTTTCACGTTTTTAGCGCTTAATCATTCCATTCTTACGTCATGTTATATGTCAATGAATTTAACGCTTTTTCCTTTCTTTTTTGTTAAGTACTACCAAAATTTATTCCGTATGTCTATTTGGTGCAGTTAACGGAATATTCTTTCGGTCTGTGCATATATACGTTACGTTTGTGTGTGTAGTTGTGTGTCTGTTCTTAAATGCACTTCTTAGCGAAGTTTTGAATTACATTATACATCAACAAGAATTCTCGTCGCTATTCTCTCTAAAAATTTTTAAACGAATTACAACTTTTCATTTGAGAGATTTCGTTTTCAATTATTCGTTTACTGATTACAATAATTTTTCCTCTGCTTCGAATTAGTCATAGTATTCTTTCAAATGTAATTCCTAGTAATTAATTATATGATAATTTGCTTATCTGTTATAGTACATATTTATTCCTATAATAATGATAATAATCAATAATATCACATTATTATTACTAATTATTATTATCGTCATCATCATTGTTGATGAAGTATATGCTTTATTATATTTTTATATACACATGCTTAAAATATTTTAAATTTTTTAAATATTTTTCCTAGAAATATCAAAATAAAATTTGAAATATGGAAAAAATGATACTAGTTTAATAAGTATTTTTTGTGTAATTGGAGAGGATTTAAATTTCGTAATCGATATATATGCATTAAAAAGATGAAATTTATTATTAGTTTAACGAGGATCTTTATTGCACATAAGGAGGATTTAAATTTATTGACATTGTAAGATGTTTAAAGTAAAATTTTAATAAATGATTTAGATAGCATGTTTGCTCGTAGTGATCATAATGCCAGTTTTGATTATAAAGCTTGTTGAAATAATAAACAATATGCAATATTCTGACGAAATTAACTAAATGAGAACTAAGACAGTTATTCATCATGTAACTAAAATAATACAATCGTTTCATTGCTTCAGTTTGTTGTTTACTATTTTATTGTTATCTTTATGACTTGTCACTATTATTGTTTAATTAGTTTATCAATACATACTCCCAAGCCGTTGACCAATTTTTATAATTTGCAAAATTTGCAATGAATGAAAACACGAAGAACCAATCGTAAACTGATATATGAAAAAAAGCGATACGCATTATGATTAACATAATAACATAATTGTTAGCTTTTATTAGTATTATCTCTAAAGTTGGGGCAATAATGGCGGCAATCGTAATAATAGTAATCGTAATCATAATAATAGCAGTAGTAGTAATGGAAGAATAAATTGTAGTTTAAAGTATATTTGGTATTCGGACACAATTATATTCATGCTTATTATCAATAAATGAATTGTTTCAGGAAGATTAATTGAAGTGAAATCACAAAAAATAAAAAAAAAAAAATCATGGATGGATTAACATGGTTAATTATGTCTTGGCTTATCGTGGGCATATTGTGCTATTTTATGCTTGCTAAAGTAGGTACGTCTCAGACGACAGTAACTACTGGGATAAATGATACTACTATCAAGTCCCGTGCTACTTCCAGGTGCGAAAAATCAACAACGAGATTACTGTTATTATTAATATTATTTTTATTTGAAATACATATATGATAATATTTCTCATATTTGATTTAGAGCAAAAATAATACTTGACTTAAATATTACTTGTTTACATTGTAGGTGCTAATTTTCGATCTATCCATCATGTCATATTTATTATCATTTGATATTACATTTGGTAGTGAAACAATAATAATTAAATGGATTAACTTTTGGACACAACTGAATTATAAATTTTATAATTTGCGTCAAAATTTGCAGCAAATGGATTAATGATCAGTATTCAATAGATTGGTTAAATGATATTATCGGATGGTTATTCAATAATATGCACCGTGTACCGGATACATTGCAAGCTTGGATAATAGCTATGAACGAAGCTGCTAAAAAAATTTCTATACCTGTAATAAATAAGTTTAATTCTTCTTTTCTTTTAATTATTATACTTCGATTATTATTGCCACTTCCTACTATCATGACAATATACCAATCTTAAATATTTATATAAACTAGTAGTAGTCAACAAAATGTATTATTCATAATTATTAATTATAGTATATGATTTATAATTTCAGGGAAAATTTGAAGTATTATTCGAAGGTTTCAGTGATAATAGGAATGTTACAAAAGCGCCACGTGTCACTGATATTCGCTTACAACAGTCACCGAATGATCATCTTGTAGGTTCAGTTAGTAATTGTATATAATTAGTTATTTATTAGTTATGTTTATCACATATAATTTATCTTACAGATTATGAAAGGTAAAATTAGTATACCGGAAATAAACCTCAAACTGATGAGTTCGCAGCGAACGGGCGATCGATTATTAGTTACCAATTTTGATGCAAAGATTATCGACTTGCACGGCGAGGTTGGTGATAAAAATTTCCACTTTATTCTTAAAAAAGTGAATTAAATGAATAAATAAATAAATTTTGTGATATTTAAACACGTTTTAACATTGTATATTTCCAAAATTCATTTCAGATAGAATTACACTTGGCATGCATTGCGAATCAAATTTACATGATGGCATGCTTTTGTGGAAGACCTGAATTAGACATAGAACTGGTAAATAGGGATCCTGCACCGGTACTTTTTTTTATTCGCGTATTTTTACAGTATTCAGGAATAACTATATGTGTTTTTTAGTTTTCAGTATATTTTGTTTACCTAATATTACAGACCGGAACGGTTTCGAATACGATGGTGGATGAAATGATCCGTAAATGTCTTCTTTCTGCTGTTACTAATGTATCATTAACGGAACCCGGTGGACAGTGCGGTAGAATGGCAACCAGTAATGTATTCCCAATAATTCGGCGTGCTATGACAACAAATATTGGGGGGTCAGAGACATTTGATAGAACCGATAATCTGCCTACAGTACCAACACATGAAATGATGAAACGAATTAATCAGTCCACAGTGGTATATGTTTAAATAGTTCAATCAATATAAAATATTGTATAAGATATTACACAAGTAGTTCCAAATAAAATCAATATTATATTATGCAGTCGTCTTAAATGTAATCCTGAATATAATCACTATAAATTATGAAATATAATTTATGGAAAATTTGGGACGTAATTCCATATTTAATAATTTGTTAAATAAACGAAACTATTATTTTCTCTAATTATTTGTTTAACTACTATATTCTCAAATTTTCTAGAAATTAAAAAACAAAAAAAAGAATACAAATTTTAAATACTCAGACATCACATAGGCGGTAAATTACTGCCACACAATTTGAGTAAGTAATATACAAAAAACTTTCGTAGCGTTAAATTTTATAATTTTAAATGCTTTTCCGTTAATGTAATATTTTATAATTTTGAATTAACTTTTACATTATTTTTTCAATTACCGTTAACAAATCATACGACTAAGCCACAAACAGTATTAAATAAAATGCGTGTCAATGTTATTCGAGCACAACGACTCGGCGGTGATCGCAGTAGGTTTTTTTCATTTATTGCATTAAGATAAAGCCGAATTTATTCTAATTCGATTACTTATTCCTATTTTAGATAGAGTTTAATCTATTAAAAACAAAATAATTGATATTTCAGGAAAAAAAAATGCTTAAAAGTATATATATATATAAATTAATCAGTAAAGTTATTTAAAATTTTTTTAAATATTGCTGAAAAACTTTTTTTTAATTTTTAAGTTAGCGAAAAAGTTTTTAAGGAAAAAAATTACTCGTTTTTGTTCAAATAATACTCTTATTCTTTTTTTGTTCTTTAATTTTAACTTTTCTTAGCATTTTGACAAAAAAAGCGATCTTTAATGATTAAAAAAATGAATTTGTTTCTATAATATGCAAATAATTAATAGGGAATTTTTTTAAAGCAATAAATCAACCATATGTTGTGTTGGAAATGGATGAACCAGCGCAAAAATTTCAAACAAAATATGGACTTAATATTAGCCCATATTGGGAAGAATCATTCGATTTGTATGAGTTACACTTTGTTTTCATCTCAATCACTCTGTTTGGTTTTCTATTTAGAAAAAAAAAAAATTTAGAAAAAAAAAAAGTATTTGAATGATAAAAAAAAAATTTAGAAAAAAAAAAAAGTATTTGAATGATACCATTTTCTATCTAATCAATCAGAGTATTTATTTTTCTATTTAATTTCATCTATCAAAAATATTCAATCTAAATTTAAATAATCAAAAAAAAAAGAGGAAAACTAATATTTTTCAGTGATTTGACACCAGCATCCGAGGAGATTCTATTTGAAATATACGAAGGTAGTAGCAGCGATACTTCTTTTAATGCTCCAACTGAGTATGTTGGATATTCTGGACAAAAGGAGCATGAAAATCATCGATTCTTAGGGCTTGCAATTGTTAGCTTGGATGAAGTGCGACATTCTAGCGCTAATATTTTGCATACATTAAAACTGCAAGGGCGACCGTATAGAAATGACATAATTACGGGTAATTTAACCGTACAGGTAAAATTAGTTATCGCATACTTCGTAGTTGTTAATTAAAACAAATAATTATATATAAATCAAATTGATTTATTAATCAATTATTTTTGCTATTATGCATTACTGTTGTCTTTTCATTAATTATCATATAATTTAACTCACTTTGTTAGAACAATGTTTTTCATTACAGTTCGATTTCTACTATGATCCAATGGGAAATTCGATAGGTAAAAATTTGGATCAAACTATCATTCGAAATAGTGCTAATCAATTTCACGAAATAGTAAACAGCAGTACGACAAGGCCAGTATATGATCCACGCGGTGATTTTTTTTAATTATATATGCTTCTATTTTTTTTAAAACTTTTTTCATAAAGAAATTTGTTTTCTTATTAATATTTATTGTAAAAATCATTAGGACAATTAGTTAATTAAATAATTAAAAATGACAATTATTATGATAGTTAAAGCATTACGGATGATATTATGATAATCACTGCTTTTGGATAATATTTTTGTTGATTAATAAAATTTTCTGAAGTGTGTCAGAAAAAAATGAAGTAAAAAACTTGACAAAGTATTTTAATTTAACAGATAGTTTTGGAGCGTATGATAATCATGATATGACAACAACGAATACAACAACTGTCACCGTGAAAAATGTCTCACAGGTAACAATGCAACACCTTACTGTTCAAATAATTAAAAAAATATAAGCATCAACCTAGAAAAGATGTTTGAATAATAAGTATTCCATTATTTGTCACTATTTTGTAATGTTCAATATCTAAACTAATTAATATTTATATCATTTAGATTTAACCAATTTATAATATTGAAACTTATTCAAATCGAATAAAATGTGGCTGACGTTCTGGAAAGGATAATTAAAGTGAACAGAGAGAGTCGAGAGAGGAGATTAAATAATTAAGTTTTTTTTAAAGCAATCATTAAACGACAAGACTCAACCTCTAGTGTCAGGAATTACGACAGCACAACAAACATCAACAACACCTATGGTATGTTTACAACACCAATAAAAACAATTTCCAGATTAAAAATTCAAGAAATTCTGCTAAAATAAGTATGTGATATAATGTTGAAGTTTATTTCTCAGTATATAAGATAAAAGGAATTAAAAATTCGAACTTTTAAATTAAGAAGTCGAAAAGTTTGATATGATATAAATGAGATACATTAAGTCGAGAAAATTCTTAAAAGGACAAAATGATAAAAGATGAATCACTGTGATTGGTTCATCAAATTATTTGTGGGATTATTCAACTTTCTGGATTTTCACATAGCTTTTTCTGTAGGCTTATGATTCATTGTATGAGCAACGAATCGATGTTAGTGATATGCAACAACAACAACACTCATACGATATCACGGTTCAACAGCAATCATCTGGATTGAACGAACGGCAAGGTTATCAACAGGTAAGACTGTCAACACTGTCATTTGATGCTTCATACTATTATCACAGGTACTTTGTGTTCATGCTATGTTTCAAGTATAGCATATAATTTTGTTTTACCAAAATTTTAGAAAGAATTTTTAGGCTAGTAATGCAACAACCGTTGGAATGCAGCAACATGTGATACCTGGTAGTAGCACTACTAACATTCAACATTTTATCACCGGAACTAAAGATCGTCATATTATTGACACCGATAACTATCCTTATCACAGGTAAACATTTTGAACTGGCAATTCAGTAGTGATAATCAAGGTTGCAATATTGAAAAGGATCTTGTATAGATTCCAATTCCAAACTATCACATTAAAATCAAGCATTTAATTAATGAACAGTTTTGCAGATATGATGAACAAGAAGCAGAAGCACTGATAAAGACTGAAGCAGAAGAAGTGTCTCAAACTAAAGAAATTAATGAAATGAGACAATCTAGAGGTAACCGTATCAAATTATTTATTATTACTATTATTATTAATTATTGTTTTTATTTGTTAATTATCAGTTACTAGATAGTACTTACTAGGCATTAGTTATTAATTTTTAATTACTATTTATTTATTGTTATTTGTTACTATTATTGTTATTACTTATTACTATTATTATTGCTATTAATTATTACTAGATTATTTATTATAAACTGTTTTAAATACTATCAACTGCTATGGATGAACAAAATTCTGAGATCTCCTTGTTATCACTTTGTTTTATAATAAATAGTGCAGTTCTAATTTATTATTGTAATAATGGAGAAAATACTTGCATTGTATTTGTAATTCTATTATAAAAGCATGGTAATGATTAGTATAATAATGTTAATAAATTTTAGCGTTAATAAATTTTATTAATAATTTTCTAGAATTGGCTTGATGAGATAATCTTTTTTCAATAAGAAATGGTAAAACTTTTCCGTCAAATAATTGGTATTCGAAATAAATTGATATCAAAATTTATTATTAAAGAATTTCTAATATTGTCTTAAAATGTTCAGACCAAGTAAAAACGCACAATGAAGAGAAGACAGTTCGAAAACGTGATCGTTCATTCTTTAACGAATTACGTGACCGTCTAAGTGGCCGTCGACGTTCTAAACGACGCGCTAAAAGTTGTGAACCTGGGGGCGGTGATATGGAAGAAACTGTATCATTACCACCTTCTCGAGATATATCAAGGACACGATTTTCAGGCAAATTTTCATGAAAAATTAACTTCGGTAACGGTTTTAAGAAATATGTCGTGACATTCCTTTTTTTTATTTAAATATTTATCATTTTAAAATTTGGCATAATTTTAATAAACTATGACACAAACCTATAATAAACTTGAAATGTTTCAAATAATTCCAAATGAGTTGCAGAAAAGTCAGGCAGTCGACATGATTTGGGATCATCTTGTGATAAATCGGAACATTCTATCAAAAGCCTTTATCAGCATAGTACTTTACTCCTTGAAACGCATGAAAATGGTCAAAAACGGTTGTTTATATTTTATCATTTAAGATATCAAATTTATTTTGTTGTAAAACAAGTTGTAAAAACAGGTTGGGAGCTATAGACAATATAAGTTGTATCAGTTAATTAAAAAATTATTATAAATTTAGATATTATCTGATACCACATGCAGTATTAGACGAGCCAGGAGCGACAAAACTTCTAAGGCAAGGGAAAAAATTGCATGTTCACAACGATCATACATTTGTTGCCGTAAAAAGTCGAAGGTCAATATCTGATGAATGATAATAGTAATAACTTCCGTATTTTCTCTTTTCTTTTTCCGTTCTCAGTTTATATGCTTTAACATTCTGTTATAGTGGTACGACTTGCAATGTATGCCATCAACGAATTGGACGAAGCAATTTTACCAAACAAGCTTATCAGTGTCGAGGTGAAAGATAGTTTTATATTTACACATTAAAGATTTGATGAGGAAAGATGAGAAAAACCACAGTAATTGATTCAATTAAATTAGAACATTTGATGGAAAAATTATTTTGTTCATTAATTTAATTAAGTTAAAAAATTCATTTCACTTTTTTGTTAGGAAAAGAAAAGATTTTATCAGTTTAAATTATCTCTTTACAAATATTTTTTCACTTTCGATTGTTCTGCTCATAACAATAACAAAAAAAAAAATGACACTTGTAAATTGCCTAATTATTTTTTTTTATAAATGACAAGCTTTTGATCTTAATATTACGACTTTCATTTATTTATCAGCAAAATTTGTTAATAAAATATCGGAAATATTTTATACATTTGTTTTAATTTTTGATTCTGTTCAACTCAGCTTTCAGTTAACTTAATTAAAACCAAATTTTTAACACTAATTTTGTTGTATTCAATTTCACCTCAAAAAATTTTGATCAAATAATCTCTAATTTTGTTCAGTTAACTATTCCACTCTTTATCTTTATAGATTGTTATATTGTATGCCATAAGCCATGCCATTATAAAACGGAATCTTATTGCACAGCAAGTAATGTCGACAAATTGAATATGTAAAATTTTCATTATGTATTCCAATTTGTACTGTATTTACAGATGAGCTCGACAATCTGATCTATGAAATGAATCTAAACACCAAATATCATCTAAGCTCATTCTGAGAAACTATAAAGCTTATTCTGGGAAATTCATAATTATGAAATGAATCTAAACACCAAATATCATCTAAGCTCATTCTGAGAAACTATAAAGCTTATTCTGGGAAATTCATAATTATAATTACCACATATAATAATTGAACAATTACCTTTAAATGACTACTGTAACACAAAAAAGATCTTTTTTCTTCTTTTTTTTCTGGGATCATATGTAGCAAAGTATATTTCAGAACGAAAGATATTGATTGGGAATATCTTTTAACAAACAATCAAATCGATGAATTCATTTCTGAAGATGGCATATAAGAACATAATGAAGTATTATTGAATTAGTACACTATTATTATTCATCCTGGCGAAGTTGTCTTTGCTCCAAAAAATATATATTACTTCAATAAAATTACCATTGATCGATGAAGTGTGAAAAAAAAAAAAAAAAAAAAAAACTGAGAAAATTGAAATATTATCAGGTGACAATTACAAAATTATATTCATAAAATTTTGTAAATTAGTTCATTCCATGTTTCAACATCATAAAGAATGAAATTATAAAAGTAATATCTACATTTCGTTTTGCTACAAAATGAGAAATTTGCATATTCCACAATCTTCATAATAAAATTAGACAAATTTTTAATTTTCACCATCTAAACTTGGCCTCCATTCAATCAAAATTTCAGCATAAATCTTATTATCAACCATTTATCATTTTTAATGCCTAACACTATAATTTTATAGGCTGTTTAAGCACAGTGTTATCGGAAATTAATTATTAAGCACCTTGTTGTGATGCGATGTATCGATTAGGAGAAAAATTTCGATGAATAAATAATTTGCTTGTCATAACATCGTCAAAAGGAATATTTATGCAATTATTTATAGCAATGAATTTTGTTAAAAATCCTTAGAAAAACAAAATTCTAATGAAAAAAAAAAATGCTTTCTAAATTTGAGGTAACAAAAAAATTCTGAATCTCAAGAAAAAATAAAAGGAAATCATCAGTGATGCATTATTGCAGTGATTTACAATGATTTTATCATGATATTTTCTCATTATCATAATTCATCATAATTCTATCGCGATGATGTGTTGAAGATTTTCGACTATGATTTACTCTAATTTCTTATTGTTTGTTTTCGGTTAATTTTGTTTTTAAATGGCATGTGTCATATGTTTTATGAATGAGAATATGTAATTATGATTGTTTGTTGTAAGATTATGATTATTCATGGTTATATGCTAGCTTTATGATTTCGTGAATTGGGAATAAGTAAATTATATACGATATAGAAATAAAGTATAAAAGTTATAGAAATAAAGCTTGAGAAGAAAAAAATCTCTAAGAAATATCAGATTATCTCAATATGGACAATCGGAAAATTTGATATAACTATAACTAATGTCTTTACACCTAACTTTTATTATAAATATGATATTCCTTACGTTACTTCGAAATTTTCTTGAATTTATTTCCAAAATGATCCATAATTAATACAATAATCAGATAAAGAAATTATCAATAAAGCGATGAAAGAATAAATTTAGAAATAACTCAAATTTGTGTCTGAAACTTTTCAGCAAAATACTGGCCATCTGCTTTGCCGTATTCGAAACAACCCATATCTCAAAAATTCTTAAGGATTTTTTGTTTTTTTTCTTCAAACATTTACAACGTTTACTTATTTTTATGATAACGTTGTACGTCAATAGAACGATAATTATTACCTTCCGTTGGATTCGTCGTATTCGAAACAACCTATATCTCAAAAATTTGGTAGTCACGATTATGCAGACAAAATTATAATCTATTAAATTATCCGTGTTGTTAATATTCGAGTAGTCTAAATCTTATTTTAATAGAAAAGATCAATAAAGGAAATTTTTGAAAGGTAAGAAAAAATCCTAAAAATGTGGAGATAGTATATACAACTCATATCTAATCCACTCATCCAATATCCATTATTCCTGCTCCGCTAAAATGTTTTTGAACAGCTGAGATTGACTATTTCACAGTGACCATACTTGCATCACCGCGAGTATCAAATTGAATCCATGCCCAAGATAGGGAGTATATTTCACGATTAGTACCTTCAATAAGTTGTGCTTTTTCTTCCTTGCTCTCTTTTCTCCTACTCCCGAGAGTCTCATTTTACGACAATACTCTCAGTTTCTTCACTGTTTTGTTTTATCATCTATCTCAGTTGCATTTGTGTAATATTTTTGTGCTTTTCAACCTTTATTACGTTTTTTCTTAACATCTTTTATTTCTATACTATTCTACCACTTTATTTATTTTATAATAATTTTCATCTAGGTAATTTTGATTAGGACACTTCAAATTAGCCAAGTAAAACCTTCTATTATCTACCGCCTTTTTCTTTTTCCTTTTCAAATCAATTTTATTTATTAGTCTATTTTGGAATCTTAAAGTTCTTTTTAGCTTACTTAATTCCGGATTGATAATTTTGGGGGTCATTTGTTAAGTTGGTCATTTTGTTACACTTTTGCCATTTGAAAGTTATTTTTTTAAAGATGTTGAAATTGCCATTACTGTACTGTAAAATCTGCATGCTCACGTGATCAGTGCTTGGTAAAGAGATTTCTGATTCAGATATAGCTGTCCTTACATCATTTTTCAGATGTCGACATTGTATACGTGTTCAATCAGTGGTGAGCCAGCTGAGGTACCCGTTCTATCGCCTGTTTCTGGGCGAATTTTTGAAAAACGACTTATTGTGAAATATATTAACGAAAATGGCACTGATCCATTTAAAAACGAAGAACTTACTATAGATCAGGTAAATATTATAAATATTTTGGATTGGTTTCTCTTTAAAAAATTTGAAAATTCAATGACTACAACGGAAATATTAATCGTGTGCTTTTTTTTGTGTTCTATTTTCTGATTTTTTTCTTTGATTCATTTCTGCTTCGTAGTTAGTTGAAATCAAAACTGATGTGGCGAATGCAATGCCGCGTACTATCACGGCAACATCAATACCATCAATGCTGAAAGTGCTGCAAGATGAATGGGATGCATGTATGCTGAACAGTTTCATGTTACGTGAACAACTCCAAAATGCACGTCAAGAATTATCGCACACATTGTATCAGGTTAGTGCATCAGTTTACTTTGCAATGAATATAGCATAATATTTTTCTTTTTGACTACTATGCTTTGATTTAAAGTTTTATTTCTTGTACAGTACTAGTTTGTGAAATATATTAAACACTGTGTGAAATTTCCTTTTTGACTTTAACATTAACTTAACGTTAAAGTTTGGAGAACATTGAGATGTTTTAATGATTCCTTAAAATTTCCTTCTTCTTTGTAGCATGATGCTGCTTGTCGTGTGATTGCGCGTTTATCGAAAGAACTGAATGCAGCACGTGAGGCACTTTCGACACTGAAACCACAAGCAGCGGTTGATGTTGGCAATATACAGGATGAAATGGAAACAGTTGATGAAGGTGTCATTTCAAATTTTTTAATTTAATTTTAATAATTTGGAACAGCACAGTACTAAAATATCGAAGACATCCAGTTCCTCTTCGAATTTCGTCACTATATTTTTTATTTAGAGAACTTTTAGAATCCTTCTATATTAGGTGTGCAAGGAATCAACGAAGTGGTGCTGAAAAAATTGCAAGACAAAGCGGCTACTTTAACAGTTGCACGAAAACAACGTGGAAAGAATTTGCCGGAAGCATTGTCAAAACCAGAGCAAGTGAAGACATTCATGCAGATAGCATGCCATACTGGAATTCATAGTACAAGTGTGCCTGGATTGACAGCTCTTGACGTTCAGGTAATTTTAAATGTTAATTGGGTTTTTTCGGATAAATCACCCACGAAACTCGGTAGCGCCAAATTCTTAAGAAAAAGTGTGATAAACAAATTATCTTTCAGGACAATATGATATTGACCGGTGGGATCGACAAGGGTGTTGTTTTGTTCAATAGTGAAACAGAAACAGTTACATCAACATTCAAAGGACATCAAAAGAAGATATCGGCTGTTATTCTTCATCCAACGAAGGACACATGTCTTTCGGCATCTTCTGATGGGCAGGTACTGTTTATACATCCGAAAAATTTAAGAAAAAAAAAATTAGTTAAGTTTTAAGATGCAAATCTAGCTTTGTTAGATTTTTTCTTAAAAGGCATCCAACATTGTGATTCCTAACTTCATGAATTATTGTATTGTGCTGTCAAGATTGAAGGTTTCTGCTGTTAGTCTCTAATTATTTTGTAATGCAGTTTAGGTCCGAGTTTGGTCAATCAAAGGGGAGATTTGTCGTCATGTAATTGAAACTCATGAAAGTGCTGTCACTGATATATCTTTGCATGCTACTGGTGACTACGTCCTATCTGTTTCGAATGATTCTTCATGGGCTCTGTCTGATATTCATTCCGGAAAAACTCTTTGCAGAGTATGCATTTTTTTTTCCTAATTTCTTTCCCTAATTGAAGGTTCCTAGACTCCTTTAAGTTTTATTAGCCGGGTTTGAAGTTCTAGATCAATATTTTGATTTTTATATTTTAAAATGCTTTATATTTTTTGACTTCTTCAAGATGTTGTTCGGTTGAAGTTCATGACAATTTAATGGATGTTATTAAAGATGCATTTGTGTTTAGAAAATAATAATGCCTATTTTTTTAAATATTGTCCAGTGTTTACTTAATTCAGGTTCACTCTGATGATAAAAACAAAGTACCAATTTGCTGTGGACAGTTCCACCCAGATGGTCTAATCTTTGGTACTGGAACAGCAGATTCCATCGTAAAAATTTGGGATTTGAAAGAGCAAACTAATGTTGCCAATTTCCCAGGCCATCAAGGTTTCTTCTTGTCGCACTATTCGTTATGCTAGATTAAGTTGAAACGATGAGGTTGTGTTAATGTTTTTAAGAATTTTTCAAAAAGACGGACTTTTTATTTATCAGATTTTCACAGTATAAAAATAACATGCTGAACTTTGTCGCATATTTTACTATGCTCTATATTTATTTCAGACCATTAAATTTTCTTTTTGTTTTTTCATTCCGGTCGGCATAAACATGCGAAGAAAAAATGGATTGTTAGTTATGGAGAAATGTGAGCAGTGCATACTGGGGGAGCAGTTAGTGACTGAATTTAAGTGAAATAAATAAATAAGAACATAATTTTTCAAGGTATGGTGAAAGCAATCGCATTTTCTGAAAATGGTTACTATTTGGCTACTGGGGCAGAAGATGGTGAAGTAAAGTTATGGGATTTACGAAAACTAAAGAGCTTCAAAACAATGACAATCAATGAAGGAAAACATACGGTAAGTTCGTTTGCCACCGAAATTTTTTTTTACTCTTCAGATTAAATTTAAGAAATGTTGGAATTGGGATGAAATTTAAGATAAAAAGTATTCAAATTAAGATGAAGAGTACTCGAATTTAAATTTCAGGATAATGGAAAATCACTATGTTTTAGACTACTGTTCCAAAATTATAATTATGTCCATCTGAACTGGCTTGTTGTTTTGTTTTAGAAATAAATAAAACAGTAGTACAATTTCTTGTATACTTGTATTATTGTATTATTTTATGAAAAAAACAGTCTTAGGAGTTGCCTACATATTTATCGATGGGCTCATGATGCACTTATTAAAGTGTTTTTCATCAATGTTAATGAAGAAAGCTAGAATCGTTCTTAGGAATTGTTAAAATAATAATGTCGATTGGCTTTTGATCATCGCACCTGAGAAATAACGTTACTCTGGTCTGACATTAATTCCAAAACATTGCAGAAACTGTCAGTAATTCATTGTTTGTTTGTTTGTTCGTTACTGATTGGAACGGATAGATCGTGATGCATGTATGTTCCATCATAGCAGTGTTTGAGTTGAAATTGTTTAATTTTTGCAGCTTTCGGGAATTTGCTTCGATCAGTCAGGTACTTATTTGGCAGTAGCAGGGGCTGATGTGCAAGTGATACATGTTAAACCATGGACAGTACTTTCTACGTTAACGGAACATAAGGATGCCGTTACATCGGTACGATTTGGACGTGATGCACACAGTGTTTTGTCGGTTGGTATGGATCGGTCGCTACGCATCTATGCATCATCACAACAGTGATTTGAATTTCAAAATTGGCATTGTTTATTTGAATATATTTAGTTAAAATTCGCCAGAATTCTGTCAGAATACAAAAGTTGATTTTTCAAAGTCGTTAATTGATTGAATTTTTTCTCATTTGTTTCTGTCATTTATTTGGTAAATACATCAGAAACGTTCTTAGGAATTGTTAAAATAATAATGTCGATTGGCTTTTGACCATCGCACCCGAGAAATAACATTACTCTGGTCTGTCATTAATTCCAAAACATTTCAGAAACTGTCAGTAATTCATTGTTTGTTTGTTTGTTCGTTCTAGTTTTGTGCATGTCCTCTTTACAAGCAATAACAACATTTAGTTCGGAATATTTCTTTGTGGCTAGTGAGGGATTTTCTTACCAGTTGAGTAAATTTTGAAAAAATTTGGAATTGGCTATGGTGCTGTTTTGCTTGAACAAACTATCAGTAAGTACGTGCTATAGTCGTTACCGAAAAAAAAAGGCAAAATAGAGATCGAATTTCATAGTATACTTCACCAACTAACCATCGAGAAGATCTTAATGGTTACATAGATGATATTTTGGGTTTTTTTTCACATTCTCGTAACTATGATATTGCTAAAAAACACATTAAGATTCATCCATTTTGAGTATGAAAAAAAATGAAACGTTTCACAAGAATAGATCAGGCACATCATTTTCACGTAACTGATAGAAGTGTTTTACAAATTCGATGTTTTCCAAACTTTACCATTTTTATTTTGCTTTTCAATAAAACTAAAAATAAGAGCGGTTGTTTTGATGTCTTTACAGTATTAATGTCTGCTGTGACTGGAGTATCATCCATTTGTTACAATTAATTTTAGAGAATCCGAAACTTGAAGTGGTCTTGGAAATAAGTGTATTGCATAGTTCATTTAAGTTTATTTATATTTTTAAAACAAGGAGTGATGAAGTTGTCGACTGTAGGTAATCATTCGAATTGCTTGGAACTTGGCGATTGGCTTACTTAGGTTTGAATGAAATAAGATCGAGTTACATGTTTCTCGTCTTGGATCACTGAGCTATATTAACGCAGTAGTTGTGATACTTAAAGCCTGGCATTACAAACTTGCTAAATTATACGTGCAGAGTTTCGGTTGCAAAATCTTTTTAGCAGTTTGCATCGATGTCTAAAATCAGAATGGAAAATCGGTCATATCGATATTCGGTGTATGGAAATAAACGGAGAAGATTGGAACCTGTCAGGCAACAAATAGTTTCTACTATTACATCGAAGAAAAAAAAAAAAAGCCTCAACTCTGGTTTTTTCGGTTTGTTTTGTATATAGCACAGTCATTTAGTTCCTTTGAAATTTCAGAAAACAACTGCATTATTTGATGCATTTCTCAATTATCTGGTTGACATTTGAGACATTTTGAGACCTTGGAAGCATCAAATTTGTAGGTTTTATCTCAAGATTTGTTGCACCAGTGACAAATCTTTTTCGACCATCAGTTAAGTCACATGCAAGTGAGAAAACATGCACTTCAAATTCTGATGCTACTTGTTCTGGACGTTTGAGTAAGGGACCAATAAATGGCACTGCGCAGCAACTCAACAAGAAAGGAACTAATGAATTAATGAGTATGATGTTTTGATTCATTTAAGATGTGGGAAATTTAGAAAAAAATTTGGTTAAATAGACCAGACAATTGTTTCACTTCAGACAACTCATATGTTGTGCCAGGAAATGCGCTCCAGCAGTTTCAGGAAAGTGAAAGAAAGTCCTTAGTTCTGTAACTTACTTTTGTAACTTTGGTTAAATAGTTGTTTCACTTCATAAAATATTGTGACATGAATTCTGGATAAAGAAAGATGTATTATATAAAGGAGACAGCCAGGATTACCACTAAAATAAAGTAATCTCGTGAATGATATATATTTTTTTTTTTCGTTCATTTTGTGGTGTTCTTACTGCACTATCATGAGATGATGTGCTACACCGATCATTGCCATCATTTATTATTATTGGTTTTGCTTGGAGAAATATATATTGCGTTTAGCTGGTGACGACGACGACCCAGTAATTATCGAAGAAGAGGATTCTATTTTGTATTCATTGATTTCAAAAAAAGGTTATTTTCACATTTTTTATTCACATTATTTCTATCTGCTTTTTCTTCTCAAAAGTTTTTCGAGTTTCCACTGGTTTTTAGATTTATATTCTGGTGGAAGCACCGCTGGACAGATGGAAGACAAGGAAAACGAAAAGGAAGACAAAATAAAAGATTCGAAAGGCAAAATTTCAGTTGAAAAAAAGAAGTCATTAAACGCATTTATCGCAGCACCAACATGGGGTAAAAGTTAATTTATTCATTTATAACAAGAAGAGCATTGAACTTCTATAAATTAAAATATGCTGTAAAAGGCGAATGAAAGGGGAGGATAAAAATTTGATTTGCATTAAACAGCCAATTAATGATAAATGAATTCACAAGGAATTAGAAGTCGATTTTGAAGCACTGTTCATTTGGAAAAACAAATTTTCGATTGTTGGTGAAATTTTTGGGAAATAGAACAACCGGATGAAATATGTAGGATGAAATATTTTCAGCCTCCAATGAGGATGCTTTTTGGCAAAACAGTGTGAAAGATAACTCACTGAGGTACGATTTACAGTCAGAACAACCAGAGCACAGTAAAAGTCAACAGATTTCACCATCTCATTCACGAGAAGGTTCTCTAATTTCTATTCCTGTATGTTCACTCGCATTCATTTCCTAAAGCTAAATTGAGAAGAGTCTAATGCAGACGGTATATTTTTTTATTATTATCATTTTGTGCAATACGTTTTGAAAGAGTTATTAAAGCAAGAATATAATGTTAATCATACTAGTAAGATGTTTCTTTTTTTTTCATTGGGATATTTAGGTTCAAGCATTTTGTCGGATAAATGGGAACGTCGGCGAACATTATCTTCAGCCAGGTATTTTTCTTTTTTGGTTCTTTGTTTAATATTTGTAAAAACAAAATTAGATTGGAAATTCTCTAATCTGAACATACAAAAGAAAAAGGAACTGCAACATTTCAACTTTACTCTTTTCCAGATTTGTAGTTCAAATTTTAATAATTATAGGAACACGTTATCAAGTCGCTACTCACCATATAAGGTGAATCTGGGTTCTGACATAAAAGGACGCTTTGGTGGACAGGTTAATGTAAGTACATCCATTTTTATGGTTTGTCAGATTTATTCATAAAAAACGAAAAAGCAAGAATTTACTGCCTTGCATGGATTATTATCAGTAATAGTGATATCAAGCTATTATTTTTTACTGCATTGTAATTTGCACTCTTCATCATATGCGTTTTGGTCCATTTCACTTTGTTCCTTGTCAATAATTTCAATAACCCTTAAATCAGAATATCCATTTAAATATTCAGTGTCTCTATATTTTCAATTTTAATTGATGTAATTATCCAAACTTTTTGAGATTTCAGGTAGTCGACAAGGAAGGCAAAGAGCATTACAGGAAATTTCTGGAAGAAGCGGGCATCCTTAAAACAGAAGTAACACTTCTCTACAATAATGAAAAGTATATTTTGCTTCAGTTTTATGGAAATTTATAAATTATTTCAGAAATTTCCATAAAAATTAATTTTTTAATTTAAGGAAGCAATCATTCAAGAAAACAAATTATCTGGAACTACTACAAAGAGGCCAGTCTGCATTAAATGCCGTTTGTACTTCATCAGAAAATTTATCACGAAAAGGATCCACGGCAACGAATAGCTCGGATAATATTGTTGTCGAAAAAAAAACCAGTAGTGATAGCGAAGCCAGTGAGTATTCGAACTACAACATTCAGGGAAGCAGGTCGCATTTTAAAGATATTTATTTTTTCCACTATCGTGCGTGTAAGACATATCATTTTGATTTGTAATTTATCATCTGGTTGCTTTATTTGAAATTCCATGACATTACAGGGAAGAAACTTGTATTATTGGAAATACAAAGCACCGTGATGATTTCAAAGCTTTGTGGGAGAAAGAAAAAAATACGAAATTAGTGGCAAAGCATCGTTTAGCAATGCATCATCAACAGGCTGCTTTAAGGGATCGCCGTGCCAAAGAACTGAAGATTCAGAAACGTTTAATGTAATAATTCTTGTTGACTTATCGATTCTAAAATTTTTATTTATAGTGGTATGTTACAGCATGCGTTTTATTTGTTTGCAGTGAAGAAGCACGACGGGATGAGGAATTGAGTTTGGAAGAACAGCTGAGGAAAAAACTGACTCTCACCGGATACGTTTTTCGTCCGCGAAAAGTGAAGGATGAATTTCCGGGTATATTTTTTATTTATTAGCAAAGACTAGTAATTTTAATTCGAAAAGTTGTAACGCTGAAATTTCCAGCTGTTCTAAAAAAGTTTGCCGTTATTGGTGGGTCATCAAAACTCAAGATTTATCATTATAGAACTTGATGATGAAGCTTTACTGATAGTAGAACGTGCTTGGAATCGAAAATTGCCGTTGAGTGAGAAATTATCTGATGAAATAACACGGAAAGACTTGCTAACGTTGAAAGGACTTGATTGGCTTAACGATGAAATAATCAATTTTTATATGAATCTCATCTGTGAACGTTCACAGAATGATGAAAATTTACCAAAGGTGAATTTGAAGTTATAGAGTATTGTTTAATATTTTAAAAGCTTATGCTGTAATGTGTAAATATTACAAATAATTGAAACATAGATTAATTGTTGTGAAATACTAATAATGATAATAAGAAGTAAGGACTATTCGTTAGAGTAAAAGTAATCAGCAAAATCTTGTTTGAATTTAAAATCTGCTCATCTAGGTTTGACTGATATAATTTCATGTATAATTTTCTAATGAATGCTTTCTAATAACAAAAAAGTTTTATGTTTAACTTTCCAGCAGTTTGCATTCCTTTTAATTATTGCTTGAAGAATTCGTAATTTCTTGAAAAATTATTGAGCAGTTAAGCAATTTACCTTTTATTTTTGAATATTAATGAATCAAAATTAAGATATTTGATTTTAACTTCAATGGATTAACCTTTCATGCTGATTTAGGTGTATGCGTTCAACTCATTTTTTTATTCTACTTTAAGTAGTAAGGGATATGCATCTATTAGACGTTGGACACGCAAAATTGACATTTTTTCGTACGAGTTATTATTGATTCCTGTTCATTTGGGTGCTCATTGGTGTCTTGCTGTAAGTGCTTCATTTTTCAGATTTTATTGTTTTTGTCCGAGAAAAAATTGTTTTATGTTGTGAGGATTATTTAGCGCCTACACATTTGTTGCGGTTTTTTCAGGTTATTGATTTCAAAAATAGGATAATTGATTATTATGATTCAATGGGTGGGAGCAATGACTATTGCCTGGATGTTATGAGGTTATCTGCCTTTAATTTGTATTTTAGTACTTTTTAGATAACCTACTGTTTATAAAACTTAATGATGTTTCAACTATTGTTTGAAGTACTGTTGTCCAAGTTACATTTTTATATTGGTATTGAATACTAAAACTTATCCTCACTTTCAACACTTTGTTTTGTTTCAGCGAATATCTTTGTGAAGAGTCGTTAGACAAAAGAAGGAAAGAATTCGACCTTAGTGATTGGCAGCTTGTGAATCGTGACGTTAGTTTTTTAACAGCTAATGAATAAATTTAAGCTTTCGAAGTTTCTGTTCAATTTTGGAAGAATGATAGAGCTAAAAGAGATCTGTGGAATAGTTTTTACGTAATAAACTCAAATGGAGTCATATTTTAGGATATTCCACAACAAATGAATGGTAGTGATTGTGGAATGTTTGCATGTAAATTTGCAGAATATGCAGCGCGGCGTGCTCAGATCTCTTTCAGTCAGGATCACATGCCATATTTTCGTGAGCGGATGGTCTATGAAATATGTCGAAAAAAACTTTTATAGTCCTTCATTGTAATATACAAAAGTAGTGAGATCGGTATCTCGGCTGGCCCTTGCTGCTTCACCTCACTGTTCTACCTATGTTCTTTTATAATAGAATAATAGATACTTCCAAAGCTCGAAGCTTAATGCTCCCAAACAAAAAAAAAAAAAGGGTAGTCAAAGAAAATGATAGCTGAATTTTTCAGCGTTATGTGAATCAGTTAAATGTAAAATAAGTTATGACTTCAATCAAAAATGTTCCATCTTTTTTGAAGGATGATTTGTCATACATTTTACACAGAACATGGTGTCCATTTTGTAAATTTTATTCATTTTTGATGCCTTTTTGAAAATTTTTGATTTGACTTTGCAAATCGCACTGAATGATGATATACGAACAGAGTAATTATGACTGCTAACATTATGGACATCTTTCTATAAGTCTTTTTTCTAAAAAAAGAATATCTTACAAAAAGATGCTCATTGTTTTTTCATGCCTTTTCAATAACAGTAAATAATTTCAGTGATTAATGAAGAAATAGACAGACTGATATTTTCTTTTAGCTTATAATGTTTAAATTTTTAGGAAATTTTAAGTAGCATTTTGTATATTATTGTACTGCAAAGTTAAACCTTTTTTTGTTCTGTCACATTATTTTATTTCACATTGAGTAAATTGTTCATCAGAAAATCATGAAGTTAAACTTTTACGATCATTTTTTCATTCAGCATTGTTGGCTATCCTAATAGCAGCACGCGATAGCTATAAACATATTCAGTTTTTGTTTCTTTTTCCTGCAAATTTACAAAATATAAAAGCAGAGAGCTTATAATTTATCATATGTCATTTCATGATTTGGATGGCTAAATGTGAAGTAGACGTTTCATACTCGAATAGTATTGGTCATATCAAAGACGGTATTGTTGATTTAGCTGCTGGTACAGTAGGTATCTCCTTGTTTCAAGTTTACTAATTAGAAATTGTTGGCTACAGTAACATCTAGACTATTAATACTTAATATTTTTAATAACGATATTCTTATTGAATTTAATATTTAATAACGATATTGCTATGATGGATGACAATTTTTGAAGGTGGTATTATAAATGTCGCTGCTGGACAGCCGTTAGATACTGTCAAAGTTAAAATGCAGACATTTCCAACGTTTTATCCAAAAGCTATAGCGTGTTTTGAATCAGTTTTACGTCTGGATGGCATCAGAGGATTATACGCAGGTTTGTTCGTTTTTTTTTTTTTTTTTTTTCCTCTTTTACTAAAGCGAAATATAAAAAATATCAAGTTGGCTAGAGCAATATTGTGACTTTGCTTTGTTTCCTTAGCTGTATAATCTCTTCAACTGTGTCCAAATATGTTTAAATTACAAAATGAATGTAGAATTTTAATTTGAATACTTACTGGTTATTGTAAGTGTTATAGGTGCTATACCGGCCTTAACAGCAAATGTCGCCGAAAATGCTATTCTTTTTGCTGCTTACGGATATTGTAAAAAGGTTAATTAATCATTTTTTCATCGTTTTTATGTTACGAGTTAATACATATGGTAGTAAATTATTATTCAAATTCAGATATGACATGCAAGGGTGCGAAGTTCAGGTTAAGGGAACCTTATAATAAAATTGGATTGTTCTCTTAATTTTGTCTTGATATTCTGAGTCTATATTAACCTTCATCTTAGAATTTCTATGTAGTCAGTGTGGATTTGAATAACATTTAATTTTGAATTCAACATTAAATTCTTAGATGGTTGCATTTTGTATTGGACGATCAAAATTGGAAGATATGACACCATTTGAAAATGCTTTGTCTGGTTCATTGGCATCCGTTTTTGCAGCGGTAGCTATTTGTCCGACTGAACTTGTCAAATGTAAATTGCAAGCGCAGAGGGAAGCTTTTCCTGGATTAAGGAGGTACGCGTAATATATATTTGATTTCTTGGTGCAAAGTAAAATTTTCATATTTATGAAGCTTATTTTCATATTTCTGAAATTTCAAGCAATAACATATTTATTAAGTTAGACATTAAATGGTGAAATTGGATTGTCCCATTTATGTGTGAAATTTTCGAATTGTTATTTTTTAGTTATAAAATAGTTTTTAGTTATAAAATAGCTTAATGGTAATGAAATTATTCTCATTTAGGATAATTTCAAATGTTGCTTCTATTTTAATTTTGAAATTGTTTCATCTTATTTTTCGGGTGATTTCTTAACTTCGGATTTATGGTCTAAATTAGCTGTAATTATATTCATATTACTCTTGTTTTATGCCGTTAAAAAAAGTTTATTCAAGAAGTGAAATTACATTGCAGCTAATTTAAGCAAAGTTTCTAGTACTCCATTCTCAGTATGTCGTGATATGTATCGAACAGATGGCTTAAAGGCATTTTATACGGGTATGTTATCAACCTTATGCCGTGAAACGGTCGGGTACTTTCTCTTTTTCGGTGCATATGAGTTATCCAGACTTTATTTGACACCGGAGGGAAAGTCGAAATCTGAAATTGGTTTGCTTTTATAATGTGCTGTTTATATCTCTTGTAATAGAGAGAAAAAGTTATTGTATCTTGTGAGCATTTTAACAGTTCTTTTTAAATTTCTTCCATTTTTTAGATTAATTCTCAATTCTAATCTTCAATCCTAACTTTCATTTTTTCCCGTTCTTTTTAAATTTTTTTCATTCTTTAGGTTAATTCTCGCTTCTAATCTTTATTCCTAACTTTTTTTCTATTGTTCTAGGCATTTTGCGGACAGCACTATCCGGTGGAATTGGTGGTGTTGTATTATGGAGTGCTGTTTATCCAGTAGATGTGATTAAATCTCGTATGCAAGTTACTGGCTCAGGAAGGTTCATTAACATATTTCGTAATATTGTCAAAAATGAAGGTATTTCATTCATTATTAGTATTTTGCTGTCCTTTACTGTTCTTTTGAAAATCAGAAAAATCATATTATGAATGTAGACTTTTTAAAATTCTACATCCAGAAATGTGTCACAATTCTGCAATCATTTTTCATAGTAGTAGTTTTATAAATCATATTTTATATTTGTCATAAGCTGGAGTTCTTGTAGTAGTAACAGTCATAAGTTGATCTATTCAACTGCGCGTTGTTCTGTTAAGGTATACGAACATTATATAATGGATTAACAATTACATTGATCCGTGCATTCTGTGCAACTGGTTGCCTATTTGTGAGCTACGAGAATTCGAAATTATTATTTAAAACGTGGTTATCATGATTCGAATTCAAGCATTATATATCGAAAAGTGTATGGTTTTCAAATACTTGAGTAATATTAGCGCCTACCATAATTAGTGATTTACCTCAAAGTTTGTGCTTTAGATTTTTCTCAGCAATGTTTTTGCTTTTTTTTTTGCAATGCAAAATGAGAAAACAAAAAAAAAAAAAAAAACAGCTAATGAATTCAACATTCATTTACTTCATGATGATCTTATATGAGAAATTTGGAAAATATTTATAGTCATTGAGTAAAGGAATGAAATGTTGATTCTTAAGAGTTTTATTTTAAAAAAATTTTTTTTTAAAAGGAATAAAAATTTATTTGAAATTAAGGTTTTATAAGTATTTGTATGAAAAAGAAAGTGAATAATTTCTGCTCAAATTATTCTAATGAAGATTATTACTATAATACTTTAATCTTTCTACATTATGCCTGAAATTTGGAGGATAATTAATAATGAAAATCGCGTTTTTTTGATTTATAGAATAAAGATGTGTTTACTGTTAATAAACTAATTTTAGAATATTTGAAATTTCTGCTATTTTGTCGTTAATCTTTCAGTTGAAGGAAATTATTACTTTCAGCGAAGATGCGAAAGAAATTTCATTACAGTGACACTACTATAATTGTTAGTGAAATAGAAGCAAGTAATGTGAATCAATTCTGACATTTTTTTTTTTTTTCATTGTCTTAGTGAGCTTTCTTTTTTCATCAGTTTATTGTTAAAATTTGAACTAAAAGTGAAATACAAGATTTCCACTGATATATTTGAAATTTTGTTTGCTTTTTATTATCTTTATCAAAAGCATACAAAATTCGCCCCCCATTCATAAATTTGTATTATTATATGTCGACTTATTATACTGTTATAGAAATTTATTGCACATGAGATTTTCATTCATATTACGCCTAGTATTATTTGTATATTTTGATAACATCCAATTATGATTTAACAAACTTTAAAATTTTTGGAGTAATCTGATCAATGATAATAATTTTTGATCACACTTGAAGTGGTGTAAAAGTGCTGAACAAACAAGTAATTTAAGACATCGTTTTAAAATTGATTGTTGATCCATCATTCATCTGATCGCTCATTGATTGAATCAATCAAAACAATCATAACCAATGCTTGAGACTTTCTGAAGTTAAATTTACAGGGATTCGCACAAAAAATTATTTTCGCTTAGTGTTTTTAAAACACTAATTCAGAAATATTTTGAGGCAAAAACAAAAATAAAATACGAAAAAAAAAATAGTAGAAACTTGTCGATAGCATGGAAAATCCCCAGCAGTTTTATGTATTGAAGGAGCAAAGTGATAAGGTGAAAAAAGCCACACTGACAAGTTTTCATTTATTTTTATATAAAAAAAAATACTTTTTCATTGATATTTTATAACTTCGATGTTTTACCATTTTTAAGTAAAAAATAAAAACAAATCAAGAAAACTTCTTGAATCGAAACAAATAAAAAACAAAAGAGTTTTAATGAAGAAAGAAAGTTTAAAATACCAAAAAAGATGATTTCCTGATACAAACAGGAATTTTAGGATAACGGCTATGATATATGTTATCATAACAACATACTAACCATATGTTAATCACAACGAACAGGAAGTGATACTTCTGAGTTAAGCTTTTCCTATTTCGGAATTTTGAATGTAATGAATTATACTAAAAGCATGAAAGTTAATTATAATTTTTGCCGAAACTTCTTGTTACTTTTTTTAAACATCTTAAAATTTGCTGACAAATTAT